GCCCAAGCCAATTTTCCCACTGATGGTACAGTGGTTATTCCTCAACCCACCCTCACAAGGGTCTTTTAGAATTTTCTCAGACTCGAACTTTCAACCTCTATCACCTTAAGGAAGTTGAGGCTAAGTTTAGTATCGTTGAGTCAAGTGATCCAATGCTACCAGAGTTAGCCTCAACTTCCTTAAGGTGGTAGAGGTTGGAAGTTCGAGTCTGAGAAGATTCTAAAAGACCCTTGTGAGGGTGGGGTGAGGAATAACCCAAGTACCACCTTGGGAAAAGCTGGGCCTACTGGTTTGTTACACCGAGCTTATCTTGACCCTAGTTAAAGGAATCAAAGTAGTTTATGCACTGGTCAAAGCCACCTAATCAATGGCGGAGCCATATTGAGTTGATTTGCACCCCCTCGCTTCAGGGAAAATTACAAGTTGGCATATAAAATTCATAACTTTGTACCCCCTATTCTTGATATTTTGCACCCTTTGAATTAAATGAAAAATATTTAGGCTCAAAAATTTATTAGATATTAGATATATAATATTTAATGATCCATATAAGATATGAAGAGGATATTTATAATAAAAAGACCATATCAATCTATTCAATATTATTTTTAAAAAATAAAAAATGATGAAAAAACTATTTATGTTATTATAATTTTAGTCCTAGCATAGTTGTTATTTTTTTTAAAAAAATTAACTTTTTATTAAATTATTTTGCACCCCTTGACTTAGAGTTCTAGCTCTGCCACTACACCTAGTGTGCACCCCATGGGGGTGAGTGCATGATCACGGTTCACTCTTATGTCTTCATTTTAAACCTATAACTTGTAGCCACCTTATAACAACATATTTTCAATATTTTTCATGCCAAATCACAATTTTCATTAACACTTCTCAACTTTTCCAACATTTATCATTATATAGTCGCTATCAAATTTTATATATAACTTCTATTCAAATGACTCAACCTAGATCTAGTCAATCAAATTATAATCAACATGAGTTTATTCAACCCAAGAAATTCCAAACAAGCAATTATAAGAATTCTTAAGACTTTTCTACTAACCATAGTTTTACATAAAAGTTCCCAAAAAATTAATTTGTTAATCATTAGGCTGAGTTTTCGGAAAGCATTGTTATAGGCATGCTATTTAGATTCAATTTGATATCAATACATGAAAAGGTTCAGTTATTTACCTACATTAGCATATAAAGTAACCTAATAAGAAGTTACGTGGGCTTAAGTTCACTTAAAAAAACCTGAGGTTTATTTGTAAGAGACTATCCAATTAACTCAAACATCAAAGCGAAAATTAAGGAGTTTCTAAGGAACTCTTAACACCTCTATAAATAGCAAATTAGGAAATTAAGATCAAATAACATTTTTAAAAATAAATTTGGGAATTGGTTTTAAACTTTTATATCATGGTAATTATTTTTATTGGTTTAAATCTTTTTATTGTCATGGTGTTTGGATAAGTTTTTAGTTAATAAAGATTGGGTGTTACATCCATCATTCTATAAATGGAGGCTAACTAAGTATCTTCTTTGTGAAATTCAAATCAAAGGAATTTCGCAATAGTATAGCTATGGATAGTGCAACTTCCAATAAGCTTTTTGCAATTTATGCAAAAATGCATTGAATACAAATGCATTCACATTTTCATAGTGTTCATCTTAACTCAAAATCTCAAGATTATGGGTCTTTCTAGGATAAAAACTTGACCCTGATACTACTTGTTAAAAATGGAGGGTGATTGCCCAAATATGAAGGGATAGAATAAATGCTCTAAGAGCAATATAATGATACCATGTCTTAATTTAAAATTTTAAGGCTTAAATTTATGAGTTATTTTTTTTATTTTATTTTGGTTATTTATCATAACTTTATGTGGTGTGAGACTTTTTATATTGATTCAATTCCACTCACACTTAAGCATTCTAACATTCATTATTTTAGGTGTAAGTTCTCAATAACTAGTTTATAGAAATTTTAAAAAAAAACTGGTTAATTTAATCATTCGTACAAAAGATGTATTGATTTTCATAAAATGCATGTTTGAAACTCCCTCAACATGCTTGACCAATATGATACGGACAAGTGTAATTTGAAAAATAAAGTATATCAAAATCTTATAATTAGGACTAAATTAAACCCTTCAATCAAGTCTTACTTTTAAGAACCGATGAAATATAAAACAATAAGAAAATAAAAAATTAATCATTTAATCCTAACAGTTTTAACTTGATTATAACTCAATTATTAGAATTTAACCAATCTAACTTAATCCTCCAATATCCAATCATTGAACCCAATGATCTTTAGAAAATCATTGGTCCTTCCTGAAAACTAAAATATAATCAGAGAGATGAAATATAAGAATAAATTTAAGCCATGATTGTATAAAAGGATTAAAGAAAAGACAATGATATATATATATATATATTGATAACGAGAGGGGCCGAAGCTCATTTCATTAACAACTAATCATAAAGTGGCGGGATAAAGATTCCATTACATCCTTATGCACTAGAGTTATGACATATTTAGATACAACATCAACAAAAAGGAAAACGGTTTCTATTACCAAGATAACGTTTAGCAGTAGGATTAGCCATCATGTTTGACTCTCTAGGAGCAAATTGAATCTGTATATCCCAATCACATTTAGCCATCTGCTTATTATCCTCCCAAATAGAGGACAAAATATTGTTTTTCCCCAAAAAATTGTCGCAGAGATCAACAATTGTTTACAATCTAATGCAAAGACCATGATATAATTTGACTGGCCTTTATGGACATAAAAATCTCAACTATATAATTTAAGTTGAAATGAATAATGAATTTGAATTTTAAGCTTTTATTATCACTTGAAATTTAATTGTGTGAGGGAGAATTTTGAATAAAAAATGAATTTAAATTTTAAGTTGATCAATAATTCCCATCCAAATCCCATAAATAAATGATTCAAATAAAAAGAATTCAAATTAAATATTTTTGTACTTACTTATTTAATGCTTGTGCCTCAGACATAATTGTTGTTTTTAGAAGGACATATATGCGTAATAAAAAAGTTATTTAAATTTTATTTGATGACACTATGCTTAAGTTTAATAATTTTTAATTTTAACATTACCTATGAAAATATAATGATTTCCGTAACCATTACTATACAGATTAGAAATAGCATGAGGATTCACCAAACGTGTCTGGCTCAAAATAAATGCAATTTCATCAACGTGTTTGTTTTGATTTTGGCATAGTAATTATTTCGAAAGAAAAAGAAGTTGGCATGCAATTACTAATTATAATTATTATCATGTTATCTTCTGTCACAAATTTGTACCAGTAGATTACGTGCGTGTGTGTGCTGGATAGCCTTGAAAATCAATGTTAAATGTCAAAAATATATTGTTTTTTTTTTGAAAATAGATTTAAGATTATTGTATTTGATATATTTTCATAAACCGTAGTCTAATGTTGGCAAAAAATAAAAACCATAGTTTTAAACAATTTTTTATTTTATTTTGTAAATGTAATGATATTTAAAATTAATTTTATCAATCAATTTTACGAATAAAATATTTTATTTATATTATTTTATGTTTGATTATAAAAATGAAAAGTAAAATAACAAAATAATAATTACTATTGCATTATCTATTACATTATTTTTTTTTCAGAAACCATTTAAAATAGTCTATCAAAATAATAAGAAATGTATTTTTTTGTTAAGTTATAAATCATTTTTATAAGTTTAAATAAATATAATCAAATCTCATAAAATAAATTTTTTAGAGAATGACAATTAGGTACTCCCTTCGTTAAAAAATATAAGGTATTTTTAATCAAATCTTATATCTAAAAAAGTAGTTATTTGCTTTCTAACTAACCATATATTTCTATATTTGCCCCTATTAAACACCCTATAATAAATATAAAGTTATTATCAATAGGGGTACTGTTAAAAAAAGGTAATAATTATACCTCAAAAGATTAAAAATATTTTATATTTTTTAGCATTTAATTTTTTAAAAAATGTCTTACATTTTTTAACGGAGGGATTATAGCATATTATATTAATGATAGTTAAGTTCTTGACAATTTTTTTTAGAAATAAGTTGTAAATAACAATCTATATGATTATAAATTTAGAAATTTCAATTATAAATTATTTAAATATTAAATGTAATTTTTAAATTATAACTTAAATTTCTATTTATAACTTTCTAAATCAATATTTAAAACTTACTTTTTAAAATTTTTTACCACCGACTAAAATATCATTAATTCTCTCTCTCTTTTTTTCCAGCCTGTAAATATCATTAATTTACCCTTTAAGAATTTAACTGTCATTTTCTCTAAACTTTGTTTTTAAGAAAATGATAATTTTTTCAAAAGCTTTAAATAAATGAACCTATACTATTATTAAACATAATCATCAATTATATTTAAAATTAATAATATAAATTAGTTTTAAAGCTCATTTATTTTAACTTATTTTATAAAAAAATCACTTATTTTTAAAAATTTATTTTATGAGTTTTTATTATATTTATAATTATTTTTGAAAATAATTAGAATATAAAAAAAGTAAATTTTTGACCATTTTAAAAGATTACTTTAAATTATTTTTAAAAATAATTCAATACAATAAATGAAAAGGAGTGCTTTAAAAGATGTGAGATATATAAAAATATTATAAAATTTTAAAATAATATAATAATAAATTATTTTTATAAAATAAAAATTAAAAAATATATAATAAAATTTAAAAATAATTAAAAATTATTTTTTTATTATTGTAATCAAACATAAAATGATATATTTTTATAAAATTTTTATAAAATAGTTTATTTTTATAAAACCTCTAAACTACATAAAAATAATTTATTTTTTAATTTTAAACGAATCAATCTTTAGTTTCATCCGATCTATCCAAAACGCAGGCTACTTCTTCTCCGTCATCGCACGAAAGCTCAGAAAAAGAAAAACAGAAACAGAAACAGAAACAAATAGCCAATAAGGTGTGAAAATAATCTGAATTAGAGCGTGCCCATGGCAAAGAGTGAACCCGTCTGCACCTAATCATTCCCTTTCTTTCATTTCGGGGGGTTTCTGCTTCACGGCGTTCGCGCTCGTTGGTTCGCTGCCCCTTCGAAATCTCAAGACAAAAATCACTCTTTCCACCTCTCTGAATCTCGATCACGCCGAGAGGACGACTCCCCTCCCTCCTCCGTTCTCCATCGCTGTGTGATTCGTGCTTTCTTCGTCTTCTTCGTCCACTCTCCTTTCAGAGCAGGCCTTCCCTTGTATCATTCCAATCCCTAGCCGCCAAGTGTTCCATTCCGCTTCTCGGTTCAGCTTGTGCGGGAATCAATTATTCGGTTATTGATCAAGCTTCTAGAGGTACGCAATCGGTTTCCCATTTATTAATACATGGGTTTGCTCTCTTAATTTTTTTTTTTTTGGGTGTTAGATATAAGTAATAGCGCTATCCTGTTTGTTTTTTGAGTGGACGGGGAACTAGGAGAGTTCAAAGCCAAAAAAAAAAAAGTGTTTTTAAATTTTGAATATTCGGTTAAGCGATTTTTGGTTATATGAGATGCTGAATGGAGGCGGTTCTATAATTTTGATTGATAAATGCTAAGTGACATGGAGGTTTAAGATATAAAAATTGTTTATTTTTCATTTTTAATCTTTATGAGTTTCTCCTCAACGGCTAACTGATTTCTGAATCAGTGGTATACTTCTAGGGGACGGGCATGCGTCCCTGAAAATATCATCTTGCTTGGATAGATGATCAGATTTTATTAGTAATGGGGGAAAGAAAATTATTCAGGTAGAGAAAACAAAGCTAGGAGAAAAGGAGTAGAGAAATCAGCATTAACTGATCAGAGCTCTCTATATTAGCAGTAGACGCCCTTAAGAAAGACTGTTAGCTTCACACGTAAGATGTTGGGAACATGGCTTTGTCTGAAAGAAATGGCGGCTACATAAATTTATCCTTGAACTATAAACCACAAATAACTGCAAGCAGCATCATAGAACCTTGCCTTACTTCTAAAGCCCCAGTTATTGGTTGGCCCAAAAACTGCAGAGCTAGCTTACCTAAAGTTATGTAATGGGGATTACATGATTTGTTGTAATATGATGTAGTCAGGATTACATTGGATTACTTTACTTTGTCAACCAAACACTGTGAATCAGCAAAATGCATCAGGATTAGGCAATCCTTTTACATGGAATTGAACCAAGTGTTCCATTAATTACACATCTTTACATCCTAGAATTGATAGTACTGAGAATGGACTCCAATTCTGAACTTTCTCTATCATTAAGATTTTGATCGCTATGAAAAGTTCTAACCATGGTTATAATGCAAGAATAAAGTCTAGAAGTAGGGTGTGATTTTCAAACGATATTAAAATGCAAAACCCCCCCCCCCCCCCAAAAAAAAAAAAAAAGATCCTAAAACTTGCTGGTCTTCCCATCCTCTTGGCAATGAGTTCCACGGACTAGAATCTGTTGCATCAAACACAGCCCTGAACTTTGCAAACAAAAAATTATGCTAGGCTGATAAGACATTTCCCCTGCTTTTATTCAAGAAAATATCAATACTTATTCTGCACCGCTCAAAATACTTTTGTTTTGGAAACTGAAACTTGCAAATAAAATAACACTTCATCTGTGTTTTTTTTCCCCCGTTTTTCTTTCTTTTTTTGTTATTTTTGATTTGAAGTCAAACAATCCTTTAATTAATGAGGAATTTAATGATAATATCATATTTCTTGTTGTGGACTCTACACATTGTTAAATTTAAAAATGGCAGCTTGTGAATTTGCTAGGCGCCAAAAGAAGCTGAGACATTTGCAGGTCAGATAAAGAAAGTGACTGTTACAAAAATTATCTGCTGCATTTGTGGTTAATTAGTTTGATATTTTCTGTTTTGGGAGCTTGAGTGAAATATTTGGAGGCAAACTATTTTTTTCTTGATGAGTAAACTAGACGCTCCATTTTTTCGAACGTTATTTGGGGGCTACATTATTATTTTTTTTTTAAACTTCTTTTTTTGGGTCTGAGAGGTCCTGGTCAGAAATGACTTTTTGGAAATAGTCCGAATTGAACTTTTTAGTATTCCAGGTTAGAGGGCCTACTGGTTGATGATGAATTTGCAACAAGTTGGGCAGTCTAGATCCTCTAATGGATATGGCCGTCGAAAATCTGAAAGAGAAGGGGCAGCCAAGTCAGAGAATAAGATCTCATCTGGGAAGTCAAATTCCAACAGACTGGCAATTACAGGTGAACTTCTGACCTGGATTACTTTCTATTTCCCTTTAGTTAACTTTGCTAATATTTCTTCTTATTGGTTTGGTGACTGGTGATATAGGTGATGGTCCTTCACATGATCGACTAGTATATGTTACATCATGTCTTATTGGACAGCAGGTGGAAGTGCATGTTAAAAATGGATCTATATACTCTGGAATATTCCATGCAACAAATACTGAGAGGGATTTTGGTATGCTCTGTTAATTTTCTTTTTATATTTATTTTGCGCTAATGAAGAAATTTTTTGTGGGCTTGTGGCTTTGTTGAATAGAGTTTTGCTTCCTTTGTTCATTTCTTTTGTAAGAGAACTGATGAACATTGTGTACTGTTTAAATCGTCTCTACTTTTCTTTAGGAATCATTTTAAAGATGGCTCGCTTGACAAAGGATGGTTCTTTGCGAGGGCAGAAGTCTGGTATAGAATTGGTCAGCAAGGCTTCTTTAAAGACTTTAATTATACCTGGCAAAGAATTTGTACAAGTCATCGCAAAGGTTCGCAGCTTTTCATATCTGCAGTGTACTGGAAATCTATATTATTTCAGTTAAATTAAATATCCTTGTGTATTTTGATTTCAATTCTGTCTAGTTTACAATAATTTATTTTAGTGTAGAATCAGGCAAAATGGCCGTGACAGCTTTGTCAACTTCTTTATTGATCATATATATATGTATATCAATCATGGCAGGGCGTTGCTGTTACTAGGGACGGCCTACCTAGTGAAGCTCATCATGAAATGTATCAGGACATCATTGTTGACTCAATAATATCACAATCACGTCATGTTGACATGGAAAGAGAACTACAACCATGGGTGCCTGACGAAGATGATCCACAATGCCCTGAACTAGAAAATGTCTTTGACGAAACTTGGAATAGGTGTTTATTATTATTATTTTCAAGTTTTATCCATAAATAAGAAAATTTTCTTCTACAAATAAATGAATTATTACTTTTCTTGAAACTGCGATCTTGACTTGATGCCCATGTATGCATGTCAGCTTCTTTTCTTTTTCTTAGACCATAAAGGTTGCATGATAAATGAAAATGGATCCTTTCATTTTCTCTCCAATATTGACGTAGTTAATTTGGGAAAGAGATAAACGCAAAATGTACGGAGCCCATTACTCCTGTGGGTCCCCACCATTTAAGTTGACGGAACACATTGGTTGTAGGCATATTCTTGAGATAGCAAAGAGGGGAATTAGGAAATAAGGGGTTTTTTGTCTGTTCCTTAAATTTTAACGTGAATCTAAATGAAGCCTACCACATTTTGACTATCTCTATCCATATCAAGGTTGTCTTCATTTGTTTCTTTTCTAATCATAATTTATTTAAAGATTCTTAATTTGTTTTACATGACAATGGTTGTCTGTATTTCTAAAAGGGGCTGGGATCAGTTTGAAGCAAACAAAACGTTGTTTGGTGTAAAAAGCACGTTCAATGAGGAACTTTATACCACAAAGCTCCAGAAAGGCCCTCAGACAAGAGAGTTGGAAAAACAAGCTTTAAGAATAGCAAGAGAGATTGAGGGCGAGGATACGCAAGATCTTCACCTAGCAGAGGTTAGTGATGCTTTGGTGCTTTTCTGGTTTCCATATTTTTCCCCTTTGATATTGTGGCTTTCTGTACTTTTTTGTTGCTTAATTGTATGCTGAATTCCTCATACAATGTTTATGATTTATTCCCGACAGGAAAGAGGCCTCTTTCTACATAAGAATTTTGATATTGATGAAGAGGCTAGGTTCTCTTCAGTCCATAGGGATAGAGGGGTTGATGACAGTAGCTATGATGAAAATGAGGATATTTTGTTGGATTCACACAATTCTGAAACCTTTGGTGGTACCGTTCCTTCAGTTGTTATGAGGTCTATTGAATCAAGTGATGGGAAAGATGATGATGGAGTCAGAACATTGTCAAATTCCTCCTCTACGGTATCTTATCAATCATTTATTTTATTGTTAAACTCTAATATTATAATCATTATCAATTGTTGTTCCTCTTTTGGAAGACACTATTTTGTCCACGCCTCTAAGTGAAGACTGCCATAGTGTGGTTCTAAGTGAAGACTACCATAATGTGGTTGGTTATGTTTTCCCCTCGTTTTAGTAAATAAATTATTCTGTAATCCTATTCATTTGGGTCAACTTTTGTTTATGCAAGTACAGTTAAATTTGCTTTGTTGTCCCTAAGCAAAGCTACTAGATTGCAGTTTCGCATTCAAGGGGTTAATGTTTGGCTCAATAACTAATGCTTTATACCTCTGTCATGCTGTGAAGTACGATATCATGCTAGTGATAGTTATAAGAACACTTGTGGGTCTTCACCTAATGGCATGTGCTTTTTGGATGAAATTGTTTTTGACACATTATTGAAGTTTCCGATGACCTAGCAGTATAAGGTTTGATTCTTTCTGATCCCATTGTCTATATTGAGATGGTGATATGAATGAAATTTTATGCCCTCATCAATGAGTGTAAATTTTATGCCTTGAAGAAGGCAGCACATTGCTGGGGTTCTTCTTGTGAGTTTATTTATGATGTTTAAATGAATTAGTTCTGCTTGCAAGGTGTGCTAAAAGTTCTGAGTCTTCTTGCGCATATGAATATAACTTTAAAATATAATTGTATTGCTAAGAGATATGGGTTCGTTGTTTTCCCCTCCTCCCTCTCTTTCAGCTAGTAACTTCTCTGTTGTCTTTTCTTATTTTATTATATTATGTTTTGTGGGTTTGCAGGATTTACCACATTCATCTCAGTCAAGTAATGATGTGGATTTAGGTCGTGCTGGCTCTCACAATCTTGATAGTCAGTTAGCATCTGAACTCCCTACAACAACTGACCCTACTTTGGATGCTGAATGCAGGTTTCTATTGATTCCCTGCAAAAATTAATGTTTTACTCAAGCATGGCTGTCTAGAAAATAAAAGTTCCCCCCCTTTTTTAACAAATTATTTAGTATCTGATGCTACCAACTAATTTTGAATTCAAGCCAAATTAGGCCCCAAATGGGAGGTAACTCTCCCAACTTGGCTCTTCTTATTTTCAAAGTTCAAATTGGGACGTTGCTTAAGTGGTGTGGAGTCATTTACCACTTAGCGTAACTGCTGTTGATTCAAAAAATAATAGCATTTAGGACTACTGTATAGTGAATTCAAATCCAATAAACTTTCAGGATGCAGAAGGACTCGCTTAGTGATCTGCATGGAGCCATTGACAATAGCAAGGAAGAAAATCAGATAGTGAGTTGAAGTTACCATGTCTATGTAAATACCCCCTACAAGATAATTTATTCAGACGCTCTAAATCTGATTACTCTTTTATTTGACTAATGCAGCAATCTGGGGATGTTCAGCTGTCAAAATCTGAAGGTTTGTGAACTTGCTATCTCAGCTCTCTGCAGTTTAAGTTGTTTGAAAAGCGCCTGAAATAATATGAAGGAAATTAAAATCACTCCTCACTTTTTTTGAGGGGTTATGTTAACCGTCTCTTTTCTCCCTAAAGGAAGTGCTGGAGCTTTCTTCTGTATTCATATTATTACTTTGGCATGGCAGAATTCACCTGCACTTGAAACTTCATTAAGGTGGTTCATTAAATGTTGTTACTCTGATTTGAGTAAAATTTTATGCAGACTTACAGTCATATCACAACTTGAAGAAGGATGACCCTGATACTGGGGGATTGTCTTCAAATGCCACCTCTTATGGCCCTTCATCTCATATTTCATCAAAGAATCCTGAAAAGACAGGTTTGCCTGGTGATTTGATTGGGGATTCAACATCTGATAAAGGTAAAGGGGAGAGAAATTCTCTAAAATCCCTTGGAATAACTGCTGGTTCTACATCAACTCGTACAGATTGTGTGAGAGGTGTTGCAGCATCTTCTGGTCCTGGTCTATCACCTAGTTCTTCAGTTGGTTCATTATCTTCAGAAAAATCGATGCTGAATCCGAATGCAAAGGTCTGAAAGTTCAAAATCGTATTTTCATGGAGAAAAATTTCAATAATTGATTTTGTTTTTAACTAATTCTAAAGATACATCACCGAACTCCCCATTTTTCTTGATGATGCCCTTAGGAATTCAAGCTCAATCCAAATGCAAAGAGTTTCATTCCATCCCAATCACCTGTTAGGCCTCCCTCACAGTTGTCAGATGTCTCCTTCTATTATCCAACTAATGTAACTACTGTACCTCACATGCCTGCCATGCCTATGGAACTTGGAGTAAGTATTCCATGATGAGGTATTTTATATCAAATTTTATAATGGATTTTCACCATACAGGGTGTTTGCCTTCCCGTACATCCATCTAAAAGAGGCTCCTATAGTTTTTATTGTTGTGCTAGAATATTTTATAAATTCTAAGCTATTTTTTGGACTTTTAATTGATTGACGTTCAAGAGTGGGATAAGGTTGAGGGATGTTTGGTGAGGAGAGTGAAATAGATAAATTTGAACCTCATAAAGAGGGGTGGAGGAAGATTAAAGAAAATATTCTTAGAAGTTGTTGAATGAGACGTTCTGATTGACAATATTTTCAAAGGCTTAGCTGTTAATAGAGCACAATAGCATCGTGTAATCGATGTAACTGACTCCACCTGGTAGGATAAGGCTTATTGATTTGTTGTAATGTTCAAGAGTTTGTAGACTTCTTTCTTGTTTCCCCTTTTCTTTTAATGAAAGGCTATGAAAAAGCCATACGAGAGATAGAAGAACAGAGTAGAGTACTTTAAGTACCCTGTATAACTGAATCTTTCCTCTGCAAAACTCAAGGGACTAGGGACTGCTGGCTGGTCCGTTTTTCGGAACTAAGGCCTAGGAGTTCTTTAAGAATTATTGAATCTCTTTTCCGCTTTGATCTTTTTTACAACCTTGACTAAAGTTGTATTTTATTCAGATGGGGCATGCATTTGCTGGGCAGCAACCTTTACTGTATAATCCACAAGTAGCACAAGTGTCATCACAAGCATATTTCCATCCAAACGGACCACAGGTAGGATAACACTTGCTGTTTCTTACCCGTGGCTTTGTTAAATGAATAATGCTGCTTTAGGGTCAATACTTACTATTTGTTGATTTGCAGTATGGACAGCTTCTTGGTCATCCTAGGCAAGTTTTGTACGTGCCAGGTTATCTGCCTGTAAGAACAGAACTCTTTTTTTTTTTTAATAATTTTAAAACTTAATCTTTCTAACAATTAGAGGACATCAGTATGCATGCTTTAATTTTATTATATGCGTTGAACTGTGCTGTCTGTCAGCATTTGAAGATGAATTGTGAGATAAACCTTCTTAATAATCACTTTTAATGGAAAATTTTCTCAAGTAAAGGTGGTGGGATCTGAATTTGAATTATATCTTCCATCATTATCGACCTTCTACTAATTATTATGTTTTATATTCATTACTTTCTAATTGTCTCAATTAATTATAATACAGGAAACACCATACAAGGGACGGGATTACTAACAATCTTGGCTGACAGCATTCTTGGCAAGTCTGGCCCTTGCCTGAAATTAATAAACTCCCAGTGGATGGGTTCAACTACGGGGAGTCTTCAGATTATAGGAAGAGATTCCCATGAATAGGTCTTAAAAAAAAATTGTTTTTTTACAGGCGAATTGACTCATTCTGGAGTATCATTTTATTGCACCTGTATTAACACACATCTTTCTCTCTTAATTTTATGCTGACATTTTACTTTCTGCTTGCATAATTTTGTCACGAGTTGTGTCTTCTTGTGATGACAATTGTTTCGCTTTGCCATTCAGTCTACTGGTAGCTACCATCCCACGAGGTTCTGTTGTATTCAATTACTAAAATGAAAAATTTTGAGAAATTGTAATTCTGGATGAAGATATCAGGCAATTGTTATTATAGGGAGTTCAAATTTTGTAATTATTGAGTTGATTTATGTTAAAGCTAGTCATATAAAAGCTATTGTGGGCGTATTGATATTGTATTCCTAAACCTTGAAGTGTGGATTTTTACGAAAGATTATGAGTGCATTATTTATGTGATAGTGCATTTATTGTGTGAAATATAAAATTGTGACATCTAAATAGTAAATTATAATGAGGATAAGATCATGTACTGGGATTCAGTTTGTCACTAATCTCTTTTCTAGAAAGCTTCTTCATATTATTATATATTATATTTTCGTTAATTAAAAATTACTACAATCGCTTTCATGGATGGCGTTAAAAAAATAAAGGAGGAAAGTATTTAGTATTGTGATGTGTGTTAACGTCAACAGGCTCATTGCAGTGACCTGAGTGTGACATGGTAGGTGTATGATTAAGACTCTGTTTTTTGGTACATATGATTAAGATGAAGAGTTTTAAAGTGAGAAATGAAAAGGACTACCACATTCCCACAACCAATTGAATAAAGTCGTTGCAGTTTCTAAAGCAGTTGGCATCCTAATCCTTCATTATTAATTATTATTTGATCACTAATCACTAATCTCTATCAAAAAAATATACAACATATTTTAAATTCGAGATATTTAAAACAAAATTTTATATTTTAGTTTTTAACAAAAAAGAAATTTAGATTTTGGAATCTTTTTAAAGATTTCAAGGGAAAAATGACCTTACTCCCATAAATTTAATAATGATGTTTATACTCGAAAATGTTATAATTTTAAAGATTTTTTAAGTTGAATTTGTTGACATCTAGATCTTTGGATTTTTTTTTTCCTCTTTGGTTATTCTGTTGACCTTTCATTTTACTTGAACCTTTTTTTTTTCCTTTCAAATTTGGCCAGCGAACTTTAGTTTACGATTAAATTATGCATCACATTGAATACCCAAAAATAAAATAAAATTACGCATCATATTTATTTCTTTGACGGTCAACAAAAAGAACAGAATGATTATGCATGCTGTATAATTTATTATGAGCATAAGTGAAGTTTCACGACGAAAGACATCATAATTACTATGCATTTTTCTTTTTCGAAGGAGTATATCCTATTTATTTCTAAAATTTGATATAATTAGTTGTATCTAAAAGAAAATAATATTAAATATTTTCATAATAAATTATTTTAAATTTTATTATTCAACGAAGTTTTAGATAAAATATGCTATATTTCCAGTAAGCTTTTGTTTGTTTTCTCCCTTTTTATATGATTTGTGTGTGTGTGTGTGTTTTTTTTTTTTTTTTTGGTAAAAATGTATGATTTGTGTCTTGGTGGAGCGTTTTGATTCCTTATTTCCTTTACTGCTCAAATTTAAGTGCCATTAATTTTATTATTAGGTGCTTGGATCAAATGGTAAGGGAATTGGTCTCTCTTAATTAGAAATCTCAACTATCCAAATTCAAATATTAAATATACTTCACAAAATTTCTTATCTTAATTTATCTAAATTTATAGTAATTATTAGTCAATAAAATTACAAATTATTAAATTTTGAAAACATTTTTAGTCAAAAGTTTGATAACATTTTTCGCTACAATAGAGCAAAAAAGAATTCAATAAATTATCATTCACTACAATAAAACCATAATAGTGAATAACAATTTCAAACCGAATCTTTTTGTCATATGTCAATATATTAACAAATAAAAAATAATATAAAAATATAATCATCATGTGTAAAATTCAATCTAATTTTTTATTCTACATTTTCTCCATGTCTTTATTATTTTTTGATATATTTCTTCACGTCTTTATAATCATATTACATGTAGATATTTCTTTTTGTAAATATAAAAAGTAAGATGACATAAATTTGAACTCATCACAAAACGACAACAATGGAATACAGCCAAACTATAAAGAAATAGGATTTTTTTAAAAAAAAAATTTTAAAGCTTTTCACTATTTGAAATGATAATGTAATTTAATTTAATTGTTAAAAACCTAGATTCTTGGCCCGTTAACGTTTACTCTCTCCGTTTTTACATAAAATGTGTTTTTTAAAAATTTATTTTATTTTTAAATACAAAAGATGACAATAATATTTTTAAATAATTAAATAATTTTATGTTTATTTTAAAAAATAAAATAAATTATTAATTATATTTTTTATTATAATTATGATATTAATTATAATATTATTAAGAATAAAATTGTCATTATATTTTTTATATCAGATTAGTTAAATAATAAATTTTTATTAATGCATAAAATTTGATTAAAAAATCTCATGTTTAAAAGCGGAGGGAGTACTCTACAATGATGATAATGAAGAAAAAGAACGGAGACGGTAGGAAGATGGAGGAAGGGGTGGTTACTGGTGAAAGGTTGCTCTTGGCGGTGTTAATGCTCTGCCAGATTCACTCGTTGTAGGGGACGCCCCTTCGATTTCTTGTCACTCAAGCCGCTACGTTCAATAAAGCAAACACAAGGGGGGAAAAAAGAATATCTTTGTGAGCTTCGGAGGAAGGAGACATGCACTGGTTCTGGATTTCAGCATAACCCATTTCTTCTTCGTCGTTAATTTACTTCGTTTTCGAGGTATCTAGAACTCTGTTTTGGAGCTTCTTTTATTATTTCTTTTCTCCCCCATTTGTTAAGATTGTGTTCTTACTGGATATGGTAGTGAATATACACCCAGGTGGGATTTAGAGCTTTTATTAGATAGTGGGATTTCTTGTTATGGTTTCGTCTTTTGTTTGCTGATGGTTGGTGCGTTATTGTTGTTCTGAGCAAAAGTTTTTTTGTTTCTTATTTTCATGAATATTCTGGGTATTGCCTATTTGTGAAACGTTTTCCGATTTGGGCAAGGTGCTTTATCAAGAAGGTAAGTGCTTAATGATGGAATTCATCTTCAATTAATAACTGGATCCGAATTTTCGTACTCCAGGCTTTCGTTCCTTTTTCTTATATTTCCTTTGTTCCCATGCATTCTACACTTTGTTCTTATTCAATTATTTACCTTTTCTTCTTTCGCTTGATTGCTTTTTTTTATGGTAGTAGGGTTTATTCACCAAGAAAATTCTTAACCTTTTAATTCTCAGTACTGTTGTTATCTTTAATTGAATAGAGTGGTCAAAGGGAAAGAGGAAAAAATATAACCTTCAAACTCTTTAATGAGTCTGTTGATCCGTTTGTGCTTCAACTTGAAAGTGTTGACTGCTGACTAGCGTGAGGGTCACCACCGGTATTCACTTTTTGCATGCCAACTAGTTCTTCTTCGAGTAAATCTAAAACCAATGCTACTTTGAAATCGTTCAAAATGTCGCGCGTGTAATTGTTGATTTTTTCTTTTTTTTGCACCATTTCCTTACGTCCTAATTTCTTTTAGAGTCATTTTTCTTGGGCATACACTCATTGCTCATGCTCAAGCAACATTTACCTAGCTACAATTACTAGAAATTGCTATTAGACTAGTTACCTTGAAATTGCTTGACTGTTTTTAGATGCATTAGTTTGACATGTTTTTAGTTGAATATGGTTTGATCAGTCAAACTGATGTAAAACAGGAAAGGGAGAGGGGAATAGAGACAAGAGAAGGAGGAGGGAGAGAGAAAGAGTGAGAGGGAAGGCTGGAAGTCTCAGAAACTCTTATTCAATTCAATAATATTCAAAAGTTGAATACAAATGAAAAATCTAACTTTATTTATAGAGCTCTACAAATAATAAAATAATAAAAGCTTAAATTCAAATTCCAAATCTTAAATCTAAATCTAATATTAAAAATACTAATATCTAAGATAACAATAAAATAAATAATAATTCCTGATTCTAATGAATAAAATCCTTTTTCAAATTTCCTTAATGGATAATCCTAATATTTTAAATAAATCTTAATTATGTTAATTAACCATTATCCCATGTTCTATCATTTCTCCCCCGCTTAAAGAACTCATCCCTCGATGAGTTAAAATTGATGCACAAATTAGTCGGGGAGGGATGGGCGGGATAAAACCTCATCCATGTGCATAGATCTAGAAATCCTTTCCAACAAATGAGGTAGCGAAAGAACAAACTTTGGCAAAAGTGAGTAGTTTGACCATGCAGAATCTCTAGAAAACCTTTTCAATAGACAGAGTATTGTTGGATTTGACTATTAAGCAATGAAGTGAACTTGGGAGATGTAACCTGCAAATAAGGAATAGCTGTAGCATGATGAGATTGATCCTTGCTAACAACAATTTGAGAAGGATCCACTTGTATTGGTGTATAGTGGACAACTTGATAATCTACTGGCAAGGAAGGAGCTTCTACTATTGTTGGTTCACTTAATGCTTGTTCTTCCATTTGTTTCCTCAATTCATCGATCATCCTCTTAATCTCATATATTGCCTTCTTAACTTCACCACAATCCCTCCTAAGCTTGTCAAAATAACAATTTTATTCTTATTGAAAGCAATCCAGTTTAACTATAATTTGGTCTATGTCCTCCTGAAAGTCAGCATATTCATAATAGCAACGGGTACCATCCTCGTATTGATAAACATAATCATGTTGATGGTTATTAAGATGCTCATATTGTCGTTGCTTAATGTACTCATGCTGATATTGGTCTTCATACTCATTTCGTTTATGATTAGCATACTTCGACTGGAGATAGCGATGCTCATAATTGTCACAATAAGTATGCTCTTATTGTTGATGGCTTGTGTACTCATATGGTTGCTCTTCATAATCATACCAATAGCAATCTTGCCAATAAGTATCTTGTGATGGATAGACATACCGTTGTTGATATTCATTATGGGTGTACCGTTGAGCAAAATCCTTTCGCTGTTGCGCATATTGTGGTAGATCAGCATATTCATACTGATAATCTAGTGTGTATGTGCTGTAGCTCATATTGGTAACTAAGCATTATAACAATTTTAATTTTCTTTTCTTTTCCTTTTCTTTTATCCTTTTTTCCCTTCTTTTTTTTTTCCTTTTTTTCTCTCTTTTTTTTTGAATACAAAAGTTCAGATCAATAAAAAAATGAAAAGTTACTCAAAATGATGTAGAAGTATGAAAAAATTGCAAACCTCTAATATCTAATAGCGAGTAAACTTGTAAAAGGTGATGAAGGCATTTTAGTCAGTAGTGTTGAAATGTGAATTCGTTATACCTTGTGTGGACCTCCCAATTTTAATGAAAAAGTTGTACTTTTTAAGTGAAATTGGCAACGAAAGTGTGATGGGAACCTAGCTCTAATACCAAATTGATGTAAAACAAGAAAGGGAGAGGGGAATAGAGACAAGAGAAGGAGGAGGGAGAGGGAAAGAAGGAGGGGAAGGCTGAAAATCTCAAAAACTCTTATTCAATAATACTCAAAAGTTGAATATAAATGAAAAACCTAACTCTATTTATAGAGCTCTAAAAATAATAAAATAATAAAAACTTAAATTCAAATTTCAAATCCTGAATCTAAATCTAATATTAAAAATACTAATATCTAAGATGACAATAAAATAAATAATAACTCCTGATTCTAATGAATAAAATCCTTTTTCAAATATCCCTAATGGATTATCCTAATATCTTAATAAATTCTAATTATCTTAAGTAACCATTATCCCATATTCCATCACAAACTCTCCTGCAATTAGCTGATGTTCGGCATGATTTTGGTTGGTAGTGATAATTGCAACAACTATCGGGTAGTGGTAGGTATACTAGATTGAGTCATGGCAGCTGATGATAGAAAAAGCTGCAACCGAATCCAGATTTCCAGTCTCATGTTATTTTGAAGGTACAGGGAATTACTATTGAGTTTTTAACAGGTAAAGTTATGTGGGAAAGATTCTGGTGTATGTTCTGCCCATTCATCATCTCCTCATGTTTTGGTTTCTCGTCATGAGTTATTCTGCATTTCATGTTCAGAAATCTTCTGCCTTCAAGAGTTTGAGCTTGAAAATGGGAGTTCTACCTCAACAACGTCATAATACAAAGCCATTGAGTTTCCAGTTTCAAGATCAGGATTCATCTTCTACTCAATCAACTGGTGAATCTTATCCTGAAGTTGGTTCTGGTCAATCAGGTATTTGGTTGTAACTCGTCTTTATGAATTCTGAATTTTTGTGCTTATGAACTGGTTTTCTGTATTTCTTCTTTCTATTGGCAAACATCTGATAATGAAGTTGCAGGAGTACTTGCTACATTTTCTTAAAGGAAGTGAAGTAAATTAAATACATAGTCATGATCCTATTTTCGGAATAATATCTCTTCCCTCAGCATTAGCAATCATATAATGATATTCAGATGATATCATGCTTGCTTTGAAGTTTAGTTTGGTTTGAGATGACTTGACAGAAAACTCATCTCAAATACTTAGGCTATTTACTTTGCTTGTGTTCGTTTCGCTTGGGTTAGCAGGTTATATTTCTATCCAGTGTAGCCATTCTTCTGCACATTCAAAATGTAGCGCAAGTGTAGGAGGTCTCATCAAATCATCGTTGGGGAGTCAGAGTTTTTGTTTTCCTCCTTTCCCAGTGGTCCATAACCAATCAATTGTATGCAGATACATTTTTTATGTTTTGGTTGCCATGAAAGTTAGGTGCTACTGAATACTGATAATTTTTCTTTCATCATCTGCATTTCAGGCTCATATTGCACTTCGCTATGCTGAACCGTGCTTTGATGGTGTACTTGCTGCATTTGTGCCACAGTCCAAGGCAAGATGTTATGAATTTTTTTTGTTCACTATTATTTCTGTCTCCTCAGTTTTCAGTGTATCGAGGCTAGCCATGCAAATAAATGGTAGAATGTTATTTTATTCCAGAAATTTGTTGGCATCTGATTGATGGTTAAGTTTTGAAAGCATTTTCATATTTTGTTTCAAGCTGATTAAAAATATTATCCCTTCATTGTGACAGCTTCTCCTTCCAAATTGTGATTTGGCAGGATAGTATTATTATCATTATTATCCTTATTTTGTCATGATTTTGTTGATAATGGTTTTGGCTTTGTCTAGTTTCCTTCTGGAATTGTAATGAAGTCTGATAAAAGCCTTTCTCCCGTGCTAAGATGGAAGAGGACAATATGAGGACGCGTACAAGTTCTGATTAACTAAAATACCCTTTTCTTGTATCTCTCAAGCCTTTCAAATTTCCAATTTCTCTTCTGAGGAGTTTCAATTGCTTTGTTTTGTCTACCTTACTATTCTTTGTTTTTCCCCCTTGAAACGTTAGCAACAGCAAATGCAAGTATTTCATTCTTCGATAGCATGCTCGTGATTATATATGTAGTTTCCTTCTGAAATGGAATATAGTTTCAGAGGAATTTATTTCTGGGCAAAGCCCTTATCTTGGCGCGCTTAGAGTCAATTAGTCCCAGATTCTCACCTTCTGTGGTTAGTAGTTAATTTCATAAGTTTGTGGTGCAAGAGATAATTTGCCGGCCTTACAGATTCTTGTTGTCCATAAAGTAGGTCAATGAAGTATCTTTCCATTTAATTACGTTTAAGTTCCCGTTCCTGCATCGCCTTTGTTCTGATTCTTTGCTTGCTTTTCTTTATCATTAACACGATTCTCTATAGTGGGGAAGTTGATTTACTGTAACTTTTGATATTAAGTGATACGACTATATATATATATATAGGTAAATGGTTATTCCTGTTGACCTTTATCCTAGTGACAAAAGGAAGTGGACTATTCACCCACAATAGAGTTGTTTATTCTTGTGTTCAACTCTTTGGATTCTTGCATGACGTGTTTGTTCTCTAGATTAATTATTGCTGTAAAAGAACTCTGTCGCCAAATTCTGAAATATATATGCCTTCAAAATGTTATCAGCTTCATCAGGCCCAACTCATGGGATTAACTTCTGTTCGAGTTCCTCTTCCTTTTGATCTGACAGAAGAACCTATATATGTGAATGCAAAGCAGTACCATGCTATTCTGAGGCGTAGACAGTATCGTGCCAAACTCGAGGCACAAAACAAGCTCATCAAAGCTCGGAAAGTAAGTCCATTTTTCTTTAATTTCCAAAGCATCTCAAAAACCTATCTATAACATGTTTGGATAGAACACCGGCAATTGATTTGTTTATCTTTAAAGGATGCTATGATTATATGCTTCTGCAGCCATATCTTCACGAGTCCCGGCATCTGCATGCATTAAGGAGGGCTAGAGGTTCGGGTGGTCGCTTTCTCAACAGCAGACAACTCCAGGAAGCAAACTTCAAAACAGAGAGTCGCGGCCTGAAAGTCTCAGATGCTACTATGTTGAACCTAGGTGGCAATATGTCAGAATCCAAAGTTCATCCTGATGCAGAAAACTACAGAGATGGTCCATGCCCCACCGGTTCTGACATCACAAGTGCATCTAATAGTGATGGCATCTTCCAGCGACGTGAGTCCAGTTTCAGGCTCTCTAGTTACCCTGCTCACATTGGATGGAACATGCAAGGCTACTCGGCTGGTCCTGGCACTGCTGGCAGCGGCGGTAATCAGCAGCATGTGTCTGTTCTCATGTGACAGGCACATGTCCTGCACATCATAGCAGTTATTCTTCAGCTCTAAGGCATCATTCAGTCGGAGAAGATGAAGATGGAAGCTGCTTGTGTTCCCAATGGGAAGTCATCCTTGGCTCATTTACGTATGATATATATATATATAGTGTGTTCATGTCAACTGTCCAGGAACAGTGATATGAACATCTTATTTGCTGTATTATGTTTGATTGGGCCATTTAAAGTGTATGGCCGAAATAGGACATCTGGGGAATTATACTGACTTGTGAAATACGCCTTGTGTGTTTGAGGATTGATGATGTTGTGCTGATTTTTGGTTTGAATGAGTGGCCTTTATTTGCTGTTGTTTCTCTGATCTCTCATTTATGTTTAGATTGAAAAATCTAGTTTTTTTTTTTTTTTTTAATGGAACGTATGTTCTTATACAGGAAATTTTTTCTGTGTGGATAGTATTGATTTGTAGTTAACGCAGCCCTCTATAGCTTTTTTTTTTTTAATAAATATGTTAATATTGATTGATTGAACGTCAGTTCATTTATTTAGATTGATTTAGTCTTAAATAATGGAATAACAGTAATAAGGACGCAACTTTATATTTACTAGTATTAGTATTAGTATAATATTAGTATATTATTGATATTCATTAGAAGGTTAAAGTTTATTTTAAATCTCTTAACTTTATACAAAATTTCATTTTAATATTTTAATTTTATAAATTGTTTTTTAACTTTTTTAAATGCTTTAAAATGTAAGTTTTTTTTTTTTAGTATTTCATTTCAACTAGTAATTATTACATTTTTTTTTTCAAAAGTGTATCTAATAAATAAATTATTTTATATTTATTTTAAAGTAAAACTCTCTATTGAATAGAATAAATATAAAAAATAGTATTAGTTTGAAGATAAAGAACTATTTTATTTAGAATAGAATTTGATTAAAAATGTCTTATATGTTTTAATTGAGGAAGTATTATTTTTAATTATTTTATTAATATGAGTTGCTACGTTATATTAAGAAAAAGCACATAATAACTTATGTGACATTCAATGTAAGCTAACGGTAGCTTTATAAAAATTTTATTCATATTTTTCTCTTATTATTAACTTATATAGGATATCTCATAAATTATTATGTGTCTTTTTTAATATACATGGTAACTTTTATTAATAAGATCATTAATAAATAAAAATAAGAGAGTTTGTGGTTAAAAAAAAAGTTAAGGGGATTAATTTTAAATTTTTAACAGTGAAGAGTTTTGTGTAACTATATTAAAATTCAGGGAGTTTGTGTATATTTTAACCTATATAAATTTGCATAACTAATTGTGTTTACTCATTGGCCAAAAAAAAAAATTTGTGTTTACTCTTAATGAAAGAATTTTTTTATTAGAATTCTTACAAAGTATTTATCTTTGCACCAATGTCTTTATTAACAAAATACTTGCAATAATTCCCGTATATTTTGTTCTGGTTTAAAATTTAACTGAAAACCTAATAATTTGCCAAATTTTTAAAGATTAACATCAGTCTTTTTTATTAGGGTAAAGATAGAAAATTTTCCTCCAAAACACTCAATTCAACGTATTCCTGAAAAACGACTTCGTTTTTTTTTTTTGGGGGGGGGGGGGGGGGGGGGGGGGGGGGCATTGGTTTCTGCGGAGACATTCATTGCTTCGTCATTCTAATTTTGCTTTGGAAGTGCACTCTCAGGGAGATAGGGAGACTGAAACGGAGAGAGAGGGACGAAGACGAAGCCATGGACGGTGGAGCACAGTACAATCCTCGCACGGTGGAAGAGGTTTTTAGGGATTTCAAGGGAAGAAGAGCTGGACTTATAAAAGCCCTTACCACCGGTGCGTCTTTCTCCCGCTTCACCCTTTTTTTTCCTGGGCATTGATGTCGGTTTCGCGTTTGGTTTTCGGTAATGCGCTGACATGAAATGGGTGGAAAAGTTTTGAATTCGGTGTTTAATGCTTTTTTCGGTTTCAAGTAATGTGCTTCGGATGCAAAGTTGTTTTGTTCAGTTTTTAAATCCTCTGCAGTGGTATGTCGGAGCGTTGTCCAGATTTTTCTGTACAATAATTGGGAATGGGTCTCTTCTCTTGATTCTTCTATCCTGTTCTATTGTCGATGTTCAGGATGGCAAGGGAGAAGGACATGATTTCTTTTGTGCTTTGATTTCTGTATTGAGCATGTAGCATGTTCCAGAGTGAACTCGGAATTTATGGCATAAGGTTGAAATAGGAGAATTCTTCTATTGAGTATTGACCAAACTTGATGTCCATGGTGTCGTGTTTTTCAGTAGTCAATTTTCCTTCTCAATGTATATGTGAAGTCCATTCATATCGTTCTTGTTATGAGATAGATAGAAGAGGCATTGCGGCATTGAGTATAGCCTGTAAGCATTTATAATTTGGAGCTGAAACTGTCAGCGTGTAGTGGCCCGATAGTATTGGCTGGTAAGAAGATTTGATTTCTATACAATGAAGTTGCAGAATAAGCATGTCTTTCTTTTTGTTATGTTCTCCCCTTAAGATTCCTGAGTGTGTTTGGCAACTAGAACATCATGCAGCGGCAGTGGATGCTAACCCACAGTAGTTATGTGGTTCCCTTAAGTGCTTGATGCATTGAAATGGGGGGAAGACACAATTTGGAAATTGTGATTTCTTTTTCCTTTCTGATATTGTTTTTTAATTTGTATGCAATACTTGTGAGATTCAACCTCCAATGGTTGTAGAGAAACCGGAGAGGAAAAAAGGATAAGAGCATTAAATTAAATGAATCTTTGTTGTCTGCTTCTAAATCCCCAAACGATGCCAAAGATGAGTCAGATGATACATGACAGTACTGTTTTTGTCTGAACTGATTACATGCTAGCCAAACAGAATTTTTCCTCTTTATATTTAATTTTTTAAACCCCTTAACTTAGGTTATGAAATGGATTGTATTCTGATTTATTTATTCTACTTATTCATGCTACGTACTGTTGCAGACGTTGAAGATTTCTACAACCAATGTGATCCTGGTTAGCTACACTCCTACTCTTCTTAGCCTTCTTATATTATTTTCTGCATTTTTTAAAGTTGTTGCTGATTTTTTGAGCATATCATGTACAGTCTTCTGTGTGCAGCATCATTTGCATTTTTAACCAATGGGTTTTAGCTTGTTGGTACTCAATGGTTAAAGACCGCCTCAGCCTCACAAAAACTCTAATATCATTCTATTGATTCTTTATGATTTGAAGGTGTTTTGCATTTATTTCAGGTCAAATGTTTTGCTTTTATGGGGTTTACACTCAGTACTTTTGTTGCCCTTATGCCTTACTGACAATATATGAACTGATGCACTAGTTCTCTGCAAGTCTAGATAAGATATATGTGCCAGAACTACAATTCTCAACTTTCAAGTTATTTGTTTTGCGATTAATAATTAATTTGGGTTGATCTAGGCTCTTGAGTGGAAGAAGCATGCTAACTGAGGTCTTCTGAAATGGTATAGCAGTTATGCTTTCATTGTTAGTTAGACTAATAATCTTGAACACTCATGCAGCATTTTGAACTGCATTCTGCATAATCATCTGTCCAGCCTGTCATGACCAGTATTGTGGTAAAGTTAAAGAATATTGGAAACTTTGGATATACCATAGACATTCTTTTGTCTATGTTAGCCTAGCTCTAGAGCCACTTATTTGTGTTCTTGACATGTGTTAGTCAGTATTTCTTGACTAAATTAAATTTTGATGATTGTGAAGAACCTCTTCGCGGGAAATGTTATTTACATTTTTGGAAATAGAGATTTTATGTAGTTATGCTAGCTTCTGGGGCAAATTACTGTAAATGAAGAATTTGATGTTTCCATATCTAGACTGGATTGCTATTATATGTAGCTATTTGATTCCTTATTGTTGCCTCCATGGATGTATAATTTTTCAGAGAAGGAGAATTTGTGCTTGTATGGTTATCCTAGTGAGCAGTGGGAAGTAAATTTACCTGCTGAAGAAGTTCCTCCCGAACTTCCAGAGCCTGTGCTGGGCATAAACTTTGCTAGGGATGGCATGCAGGAAAAAGACTGGTTATCTTTAGTTGCTGTCCACAGTGATGCGTGGTTACTTGCAATTGCTTTCTATTTTGGAGCTAGATTTGGGTTTGATAGAGCTGACAGGTATAGCATGCTCTTCGACGCTGGTCTTTTTCTTTTTAGCGATTCTTTTAGAGGTTAATTTTTTAAAGTCAACTGTAGATTCTTGAAGGCAACAGGCAGTTTGGGGTTGATTCTGCTTCCTAGTCTTATTTATCAATTATCACATTTTGTGAGTTGTGGTAGTGGAGGGCTCTCCGCCCCCAAAACCTTGTTGAGGAATTTCTTGTTTGTTCATGTAATGGTTAATTGAAAGGCGTTTCATTTTATCTGAAATGACTTATATGCCTATAAACCATTGGTCATTGACGATTGTTCCTCCCCCTCCCTCACTTGGGCCTTTTCTTCTCCAAAGCAGTTGCCTGCCTTGCAGAGAGGCAAAGATGATGATCTCAATTTACTTGGGTGAATGTTTGTGCTTTGATGTTCATTATAATGTGAACAGTGGTGTATTTCAAGTGATCTTTTTTTTTTTTTTTTCACCAGCTTGGTCTGCTTATTCCTTGGGACAGTTTACGGATATGCATAAGATTGGATCGTTGAAATATAGTTCTTATTCTTCTTGCAAAACACTTCAATAAGTGGTTCTTTTATATAATATTCTATTTAATCCAACTGAACAAGGTTTGATGTCCTAATGCAGAAAACGACTTTTCAATATGATTAATGAACTACCAACAATATTTGAAGTTGTTACGGGTACAGCAAAGAAACAAATTAAGGAGAAGTCTTCAGGTTCAAATCACAGTGGCAGTAAATCAAAGTCCAACTCTAAAGCGGTAAACAATATTTTATTCTGCTCCCACCCATGATAAATAAATATATTTCCATTTGTTGCATACTTGTGTTTTGTGTTGCAAACTCAGGTATTGACCGCGCTTATTCATTCAGAATAAAAAATATCGATTAAGATGAAACTCAGGTTGCATAACTTGGGTTAGATTATTATGACCGGCTGCTGTCCTTGTGAGATACTGAGATGAAATAAGTTCTTAAAGGTCACGACTAGCAAATGAGGAATTCACTGCAAATGAATCTCCAGACCTCCCACTTTCCTAATGTATTTCTTAGATCTGCTATAAAGAAGAAATACTCTGCTCGGACTGTCTAGCCATCCTGTCCCCGTTAAGGGATGGGAACCTAAGAGAATTTAGGTTCTAGAATCTTGGGTTTATCATCATATAGCTTTTGTAATAATTATTTTGAATTTGACATCTAGAAATTGGAAATCTATGGATGTTTGTGCTGAGCCGCTGGTGAATATTGATATCACATTTGCTGAGGGAATGATTGTAGTTAGGTTGCTTCATTGTAGGATTCTGAAGGCATATAACAAATTTATTTGGGGTGACGTAGGTCCTTTGCTTGAGTAGGTGGTATTATCATATTTGTGCTCTTTGCTCTTTTGAGCTGGTTTGTCTTCTTATTTAATTATTGAATCAATGAGCAGCGAGGTTCAGAATCTGTGGGAAAGCATTCAAAGGCAATACAATCAAGAGACGAGGAAGAAGGACTGGATGAAGTAGATGAAGATGAACATGGAGAGACTTTGTGTGGGGCATGTGGTGAGAATTATGGTACTGATGAATTCTGGATTTGTTGTGACATCTGCGAAAACTGGTTCCATGGGAAATGTGTGAAGATCACCCCAGCTAGGGCAGAGCATATCAAGCAATACAAATGCCCATCATGCAGTAACAAGAGAGCCCGTCCCTGACTAAAGCAAGGTTCCTTCGCTGACTAGCGTTGGAGTCTTCAATTGCTCAAGCTTATCTACCTTCCTTAGATGCAGTCAGTAGTTTCTGGGTTTCACTTGTTGAGATTTTCTTGTGTAGTCTGTAGGATTGCCTGTGGAGGTCTAGATTTTGATTCCTTTGTGGCTGTTAATCTGTAATTGTCACGGAAGTGTTGTTAACTAGGGAAAGTGAAATCTTTTCCAAGTTTGACAGGAAATCAGTTTAATGATACTGAAATTTATTTGTAACTTATATTGATATACTCCCTGCAGGATGTAGTCATCTTTATTAAGCCATGCTTTGGGGAAAAAATCCTAGTATCTATATTTCCCACAAAAGTGCATTACTCTGGAGCTTTGACATAATAGGTTATACATTTGCTATATAACAATCATATGCCCAGTTTACAACCCCTCTGTAGGCAAGGGTCCTCTGGAAGATGATTGTATATTTACAGGTAAGTCTCACTCGTGGTTTGATCACCAGTTTCACTTTAATCTCTCATTCTCTCTTCATTTGACCCCTCAATCGATTGCTGAAGGGGATCCAAACCAGCTCCTTTGTTTTGTGTGTGTATTGTGCCTTTTGATGAAAGAGGACATGATTGTTGAAAGAGTATCGTAATATCTTGTAATCTATGTAGCGAATCTTATTTAGTAGAATAAGGTTTGTTATTTAGTAGAATAAGGTTTGTTATTGATAAAAGACGGCATGATTAGGCCATATCCAGAGGCATAGTACCATGTGATATGTGCTTATTTTAATGAACCTAGTATTTGGAAACCAGGATAAAATGGACAGAAGCTTCTATTTGGTGTTGATTGGGAGACGCGTGTAGCGGCTAAACCATGTCGTAAAGTCTAATTTCTAGTTAGTTTAGTTTTCCCCAATTTTATGAAATGAAATTTTACTGTAATCTCATGGTCATGCGTGCCTGTGGTTTCCGTTTGTTTAGATCCCATTCTTCTCGATAGCATTTATGATTTTATCGCTTGAAATCCTCGAAAAATTGATTAAATTATATTATATTTGAAAGTTAAGTTAAAACATTTCTATAGGGCAATGGCTTTTCGATCTGCTTCCTAAACGCCTGTGTGTGTGTGAGAGAGAGAGAGGAGGGGTGGTGGAGGGAGAGAGAAGCTCTGAATCTCTGAACAACAGACTAAAAGAAAGATCACTTGGAACTGCCTGGAATCTTTTCATAAGGAATCATCATTGATTAGTATAATGAGAGTTCTTTAGAACTAGACGAGATTAAGAGTTGGATTCAGATTTTCTTTCATATATAAAAAATCCGAATCTCAAGATGTGATAAAATCAATCTGAAGCACAGCATGTGGGTGGAAAAGAATAGTGATTTCTCATGTGCTTCTGATGAAACTCGAATGGGGCCTCCACTTTAATATATTCGAAATTCGAGATTCCAGGAGAGAAATAGTGACATTTGCAATGGATCCCACAGGACCACGATGCAACTCCCGACAAATATATTATATTTATAAAATACAAGTCTAGTATTTACGATTTTTTTTATCAGAGGAACACTTTTTAAATTTATCTATATTCATCTGCTATTGTGTGTGCGTGTGTTTTTTTATAATATAATCATAAACCTTATTATTATTATTATTATTTCAAATTTTCACTACCTTTTTCTTTATCTTCATTTATACTCCCTTTTTTTAATTTGTCACTTCCAATTTTAAATATTTTGCAGAGTCAGAACTATAATTTAACAAATTCCTCAATATACACACGATATTTAAAAATTTAGAATTAGAATATTTAACCATATAATAAGGAACTAAAAAAATATTGTTTATCATTTTCTTGCCATCAGCTTATCATATTTTATTGATTTATTCAAAGATTTCAATACTTGGTTTAGAAATTATTTTTAAGTTTTATTCATTAATAATCAGAGGATATTTATTTTTCAATATTTTTATCAAAGTTATTTAATTTTTATTTTAGTGTTTAGGGCTTATTTTACCTAATGGGACAAGACTTGTTGTTATAGTAGTATTATTATTTAATTTCTATTTTAAAAACATATAGGGACATCTCACAAAGCAAAATATTAATATATATTTTTATTAAAAAATTATATACCTATTACCAAGTTCACCAAACAGACAATTTGGTCCCCCGCCATTTAACTAAAGTTATCCACTACAGCTAACCCAGACAGAGTAGATAACTACAAGTACTTCTCCACTACCTAGCATTAATATATACACTGAATTTTCTTAGACAAAATTATACACACACAATGAAACTCGGGGAAAGAGAAAGATACCAGATCCAGAGGCTGATTTGCGTCTGCTATGCCAATAATTTTTGTTTTAATTATACAAGATTACCAAATCATTTACTCCCAATTGCAAGATAACACAGATTTGATAACCCCAATTACCAAATCATTTACTCACAATTACAAGATGACACAGATTTGATAACCCCAAGGACCTATGGAGTCCCAATTGCTAAATCAGCCCTAAAACCGTAGTAGTTAGTACATCAAACTTCCAAATCCACAAGAAGCATAAAACATGACCAGAATATTATGTTAGAAGACGACTTTTATTTTCAAGATATACATATAACATGACAGCAATTAGTTACATTGATATCGAGCGGCCATGCTTGCAAGGAAAATATGAAAAAAAAAAAAACCCAAAAGGAGGGAAAACATAGGCAAGAGAAAATAATAACATAATTTAGGGTAAGGAAAAAAGATATTCACTTTCTCCTTGTTGTCTGGTCCTTCATCATGTCAAAATCTCCTGGTTTTTGGTGGAAAGCCGTTTCAGAAACTCGTAGGTAGTGATCATTGTCGTTGCAGACATTGACATGGAAACCCACCGAGGTCCCAACCCTCTGTAACAAGCTGTCCAGCCACCTTCCTTAACCAAGTTCCTCACTGTCTGCATAGCTGTCGGTCCTCGCCGGCCTTTTTCATCACCGTCCAAGACCTGTAGTCTTGTTTTGATTGTATCCAAAGGCATGGTAATCAAAGCAGACATACCACCAGCAATTGCAGCACTAACTCCCTGAACTGCCATTACTGTTTTAGAATCCGGCCTCAATGTGTTAGCTGTGGTATTTTTGCTTTCATCGTCTTTCTTGCAAAGGTAGTACCCAACTCCACCCCAAATTAGCCTTTGTGCAACAGAGTATGAAGCCCACCAAACTGCATTTGAAGGAGCATATGTCAAAATGGATATCCCAAACCCTCTATACAAGCCTCTGGGACCATCAGTGCTGAGGATTTTCCTGAAGGCATCAATCCCGTTGATGTAATTGCGTGCAGAATTAGCCATGTGATTGTTAGGGTTATTATATCCACCTTGAACCATCAATCTCTGGCTCACAACGTCAATTGGTGTCCACACAAGTTGAGCTGCCATGGCTGCACTCAAACCTCCTGCTGCATTGGCAATTGCAGCTGCAGTTGGTTCTGCAAGTCCTAGCCTAACTGTAGCAGTTCCTACGTTACTCTTGGTGACCTCCAAGGCAGCCATGTACAGTGCTCGAGCTGGGATTGTACCCATCAAGGAAGTCCCAAATCCTCTGTACAACGCTCTAAAGCCCTCAACCCTAACCAGTGAAATTGCGGTTTTGATGCAAGAAACTTGGGATTGAGCTACCTGCTGCCGGGTTTTCAACACTACAACAGGGTAAAGAGTCGTTGAAACCCCTGAGAAAAGGGCAGCGCCAAGAAAGAAAAACTTCGATTTATCAAGCATTTGCCAATCAATATCGGCCGGGATATGAATCTCTTGACCCGATTGTTCTTCGGCCGCTCTCAAACTCATCTTCGCCACTTTCGAAATCCAACCCCTCAAAAGTTTTTCAGCTGAATAATACACGAAACCTAGTTCCTTCAAATCCCTCTAACCCCAACATTACTGCCAACCCATCCTCATCATATACAACCCTAACTGTACAATTGCAACCTTAACGTCCCCAGCCCCCACAACGGCAATTACAGAAAGAAGGGAAACGAAAAAGAAAAGAACCCAAGCATCTAACTGTACAATCAGCAATACAATCCCATAGGTCATAAATTAAAGGGAAGCATCACAAGGAATCAACAAAACAAACACGATTTTCTCCTCTTGTGGAACCAGGTTTTGGATCGAACATGAGCTCATCTAGCATTTCCAGATTAAAAAACGGAGTACTACGGTAGAATCCGAATCATACAGGAAGCTCACACCTGGCCGAAAAACCTAAGTCATCACTCTTCGATGGTAAAGCATTCGAGCAGAGTGAAGAGCAAGCGCCTCGGAGCGAGACTGTTATGCAGAGAGAAAGCAATGGGCAACCGGAAGGACCTTACGAGTGTACGGAGCAGAGAAAACGGAAGCAGAAGAAAAAGATAAAGGAGAGACTGACACGTGTCAGTTGAGGATTGTTTGTTCTGAGGAGTCTGTTTTCATTTCCTGAATTGTGTCAGAAGTTCGTGCTGTGATTATTGACGTGGTAATGCCTTATCCATGACAGGGCAGGATTAGGATCTAGTGAGCCATGCATCGTAAAACCCGTCGGCTCACCGAATCAAATTCTGCCACGTTACCCATTCTTATATGTTGACATTTACATACAAAATATAAAACATTTTTAATTAAATATTAATATAATAAAATAATTATTGACTTTTAAATTAATTTTTTTATATTTATTTTATCAAATATCTTGCAATAAATATAACATTATTATTAATATGAGTATTTTTTAAAAAATAATAATTATACTATAAAAGATTAAAAATGTGTTACATTTTTTAACATCTAACTCTTCAAAAAATATTTAACATTTTTAAATAAAAAAATATGTAATAAATAATTATTCACCTCAAAAAAATTCTAATAAAGCATGTAGTGTTTGGTTCAGTAGGGTAAACGATTTGGAAGGTAAATAAAAAAATTAATTTTTAAATTATAAGTTTAAAAGTATGCTCTTTTATTAAAAAAACATAAGGTATATTTTAAAAATTTGAATATTTAAAAATATAAAAAAATAGTCTTTTAAGGCTTAATCATTGTCTTTTTTCTCAAAATATTTTTATTAAATAAATAATTTTATATTTATTTTAGAATAAAATATCATATTAAATAGAAATAAATATAAGAAAATAAAGTTAGTTTAAAAATAAATAATTAATTTATTAGAGATAAATTTTAATTAAAATATCTTATATTTTTTAATAGAGAGAGTATGAAATTTTAAATTTATATTTTGTGTAAATTTTTTTTAATTTTTAAAAATAGTTCAATTTGACGTTTGTTATTAACAAAAGTTAACTTTAACTGTTAGTTAATAAAAAATGACAAAAAAAAACATCAAAAATAGTAAAAAATGGCAAAAAAATTATTTTGATTATTTTCTATTCTTTGAGTCATATTTGTAATTTTTGAATTCTTTGATGAAATTTTTAAATTTGTTAATATAATTTTTGAATTTTTTTCAGTCATTTTTTCATTAACTAAATATTAAAGTCAACTTTTGTTAATGATAGAATTGAATTTTATCATTTTCAAAAATTAAAAAAAATATTATACAAACAATGAGTTTAAGTATCCTGATATTTTTATATTTATAATTTAAAGCCTAATTTATTCATTTTCTTGAAACTCAGACAAAAAAAAATTAGGATATGAAATCAATAATAAAATTGCTAAAATAAATCTCACAAATGAAAGGAGTTAGTCTATTGATATTGACTGTAAAGTCATAAGTTTAAAAAGTAATTCTACACATAATAGAAAGTTGGGAATTTGGATGGCCTAAATTTTTTCAAACCAACCAACTTAAATAAATTTAATTAAATTAAGTAATCCTAACACGTAAAGCTCAACCTTAAACAATCACTAATGGGTTAGCTTGTTGACCTGTATTTTTAAAACATAAAAGTATGAATCTTAGTGTTGATTAACTCAGATTGTGCCATTCAACTTCAACTCATAAATTCCAGGCAAAAAAAAACTCATGAATTAAAAACTCTAGCAATCAAAATAAAAATAACCTAATAATAAACAAACAACCATTAACTTGGAACAAGTTATTTTTTTAAAGTACCAAATCATATTTAATTATACACTAACTTGAATCCCGTACATTGCACGGTCTGAGATAAGAAAATTATAAAAAATCACATAAATAATATTATTTACAGAATTTCAATTTAAGTAATAATAAAAAATGAAGATTTGTTAACATTCCTATGAAGAACATCATGGCAACGGACCTAGTGAAAGGAAATTCAAGCCAAGGGCTGTCGTTCAAGCATGATGAAGTCAAGTTCTCAAATTCTTCAAGAAGTATGTGGATGAATTCAACATCCTCTCCTTGACATTAGTCAGAAAGAGGTGTAAAAATCTTCCATCCCAGCCGCTTAACCCTCTACTGTCAACAATAAACTCATTTAGGAGAATGGCTGATCAATTATAGATTAGGGCATATGAGATTGAGAGACGTAAAGATATTCTTACATTGGAAACAACAACTTTCTAACAAGACTTGAGAGCATTGAAAACAACATAGTTAATGGTCTTGTGATAAATGACTCAAGAAAAATTTGAAATAAAATTTAATACTCTTATCTCGTGAAAAGATAAAAATTAATTAAAATAAATAAAAAATTAAATTAAATTAAATTAGATTCTATCAACTAATAAAAAATATTCAATTGCATCAACTAATGAAATAGTAATATTAATATTAGACTAAAATTAAATTGATTATAGAAAATTAATAGACCAATAGGAGAGGATAATTAACATTATACTAAAGTATGCTGACCAATAGGAGAGAAGAGATTTTGACCAATCACCTTCATTCTACAAGATTTATAAATATATATTGATGATTGATTGATGATGATTGATGATATTGATATTCTTCATTATCTTCTTCTTCTTTTTTTGGTAATATATATTCTTCATTATCTTCATTAAAACTTCTTTTATATAAGACCAATTTCATGATAAGCACCAACTGTACCATTCAAATTTGTATATTTTATTTTATATTTATAAAAATAAAAATTATAAATTTTAATAAATTTAATCTATTATCAATCTACACAATAGAGATTTAATCAGAATGATTCAATTTAACATTAATTTTTTTATAATTTTTATAAATTGACTATTCAAATATATTTTGGACAGTTTGAATTTAATATTAAAATTTTTTAAAAAATTAGAAAATTTTATTTTAGTAACTATAATATTAAAAAATAAAAATTAAAAAAATCTTCAAACTGGAGCTTTAAAAAAATTGAAAAAGGTTATAATTTAAAATTTAGACTATTCAGAGTATAATTGGATAGTCAATTTATAAAAATTATAAAAATATTTAATATTAAATTTATCATCTAAATTAAATATGTATTGTCTAGATTGATGATAAAGTATATTTATTAAAATTTATAATTTATTTAATAAATATAAAATAAAATATGTAAATAAAATATAAAAATTTGGACTATCTAAATTTTTGCTCATTACATTATGAGTACTAAAACCAGTCTCCTTTTATATTCAAACCCATATACCTAGTATATTTGAGTTGGCTTAATAAGTTGATTCCAAATAGAAAGCGTTAAAAACTCAATATAAGATATTTAACATAATAAAGGCATTTGTTTATGCTCTAAGCAACAATAACTCATGAATTAAGACATTTTAAAGCTTCTGTAAAACTTTAACGTTTAGAAATGTAATTCTAACATTTTGTCTTTTCCTCTGCCTTTTCTAGTTTTGTGTGTGTATGTGTTTTTTTTTTTAAGTAAAGGAAAGAGGCTCAAAAACCAAAAAGTTAAACAAACAAAGAAACAAACAATACAAAATGCACATCAAGCCAACTCTCAACCCCTCTTAAAAGGGAAATCATATTTGTCCGCTAAGTTGATTAACTAAACTACCTTCAGCATATCACTCCACACATATAAGCTAAAACCTAGAGTCAAACTATATCCAACTAAGGCACTAGCAAACCGGTCACCCTCCCAAGGTATGTGGGTAAACCTAATCTCCCACCTCTTATTTTTAGCCATTTGTCCCTTATCTCTGACATCATCTCCAACCCTTCAACTTATTGCAATACAACTAAAGAATTAACCTCAACCACCACTTTCCTATACCTAGCTTCCTGATGCATCCTCAAAAGTCAACCTTCCAATACACCTTGAAGCTTAGCTCAAAATGCGTCACAACTACTTATATTTCTAGCAAATCCCAACAATCACATCCCCTTCCAATCACATATAACACCACAATATCTTGCTAAACAATCAAAACCTCTACAAGCTCCATTCATATTAAGCTTAACCCACCCTTGCTCAAGAGGTGACTAGTTCACCAAGCCCACAATCCTCTTCCGTTGATTTGAAAGAGTAAAATTAGATATAGATTTATACATATTGCTACTAAACTTGATAATAACTTCACACACTTCCTCCACACATTTTTCCCTTCCCTCCTTTCTAAAAATTCTTCCATTCCATTCTTTCTATAAGATCCAAGTAACCACTCTAAAAATGACTCGCCATTCACAACCTTTAACCTTTATACTCTTATTTACTATATTAGATCTAATCCACCCCTCCCTTTCTATATTAAAGAACCCATTCACAAGCTCAAGAGGAATCAAATGCCTTCAAACATCAATAACATTGTAACGATCTCATAAAACATGAATAATTGACTCCACTTCCCCATACATTACACAATCTTGACCCACACCAAGACTTTGAGCTCTCAAAGCCATAAAATAATCAAACACTCTTAATCCTCAGCCATCTCCATGCCAAACCCCAAATATCACTAGCTTGCCCTAATTTGTCTTTGAATAACAACTTATACCCACTTTGAGCAATATATTTACCCTTACCACTCCTAATCAAAAATAGCAAGCACCTTATCACTATCAAGAAGAGGCAAAGCATTAATTTTCTCTTTGCAAACTCAGATAGCACACTATCAAGTATATGCTAAGTCCACTCACCTCTATCATTAATAGTATTAGCAACTGACTACTACCTTACCTCATCTGGTATTGGACAAACTACTTTATCTTTGAGAACAAGGGTATAACCTAATCACTCTTCATTCCAAAAAGAGGTACCGCCATAACTTTGAACTTCTATTCTAAAATTCCCTTTCAATTCATCCTATATAAACATAATATCTTTCCACAACCTAGTATTACTACTTCTTACTTTGACTTTATCAGCAAATCTACTCCCATCATTTTACCTATTTTTAAGAATGTCAACCTAAAAGCCCTCTCTACCAGCTCTTAACCTCCACACAATCTTCATCAAGCATGCCTCATTC